GAGATTGTCACACCATACCACCATGCCAGACTCTTTTGGCCTTGAACTGAAGTAGTCGGCCTTGATTCTGCGTCCAAGGCCCCTAAAAGTTTGGTGGCTGACGGATCCTAAGTCTGACAGCGAATTGAGACAATAGTCTGACACTATTGCAAAGACTTGGAACTTTCAAATTTGGGTGCGACCTAGTTGCGTGTGTATGTGTGTGAGTGAAGCCCTTGGATTCACAGTTCTGCTGTTCCACTCTGTTTCAACCTTGGATTCACAGGCAAATGTGCGCAGGTTTGTTGTGGCACTTCTTTTGGTCGAACTAATTCCACATGTGCTTATTCAGCTTTGGGTACTTCATTCGTCGCCTTGGAATTTGGATTTTCAATTCTTACGGAAGCCAGCCGGTAGGCTAGGCTGAGGTTAGTTTCTGTCAATGAAGTGACGTTTAAATGTTGGTGTTGCAGAAGATGCAAGTTATTTATACAATGTCATTGTTTTTTGACGCAGAACATGCTAGTGACATCATGAACATGGAACAGGTATTTGTACTTGCCAACTGCCCGCCCCTTGGTTCTTCCCGTGCAACCACCTGCATAATTCAACGCGGCACCAGGAACAGTGATAGGTCAGCTAGTTAGTAGCGTCCTTGCTCCTAGCCCTAGTAGCGATGCCAGGAGCCCCTGGTAGCGTCCTTGTTACTATATCCTGTGCCAAACGATGTGTGTGGGTGTGTGTGTGGCACGGCACGTTGAAAGACGAACTGTAAAGTCTTGGAGGCCCGGCGTTGGGGGTTGTTTTGTAAAGCGAACGTGCACTTCTGCGAAAGTCAAAGATGATACTTCAGAGAATATGCCAGAGATGATATATAATTGGATTCTTCAGGCCACTTGTTTTTGGCCCGCGGCTGATATACCGCCCCTGCGCCTGCTACGTACGTTGCATTCAGCTTGCTTCGAAGATGTTTGGAAGATGACGTTGGTTTGGATGTGCTTCGAAGATGATGATGTCACATGCACACAAGCAACTCGACAGCTTGTGGAAAAGTTTGAAAAGATGGAAACCATCTGGGAACCATGCAGTCGAACAACTTTTTTGCGCACTCCAATCCAAAATGTGCATTTCGCTGTAGGGAGGCCCGCCACGCAAGCATTCTAAGTGGGAAAACGCATGAGATTTGATGCATCCGGAAATGCATGTGTAAGACACATCTACTGTAAATACCAATGAAAACTCCACGGACCAAAAAGACACAAATCAAACCGCGCATACCGTTGCAGGGCGGCGTATCAGCCGCGAGCCTTGCTTTGACTTTTACCTAGGCCCTAGGCCTTTTCCGGCCGGCAGATGCTTTGCTCGTGCATGCACCTGACGATTTTACCCATAGATGCCATAGATCCATATTGTGTGCATGTGGCATAGTGTTGAGGGGCTGGTGGGACGGGGCTGCAGAACCCAGTGTCTGGATGGCTGGATGACATGAAGGTGACGTTCACACGGCACCCCGTGTAGGCCCCGGTCGGAGTAAGGCACTTGTTCCTAGTAGCGATGCACTTGTTTCTACTAGCTTCTTGTTACTACTAGTAAGGCACTTGTTCCTAGTAGCGTGGCACCTGTTACTAATAGCTTCTTGTTACTACTAGTAAGGCACTTGTTCCTAGTAGCGTGGCACCTGTTTCTACTAGCTTCTTGTTACTACTAGTAAGGCACTTGTTCCTAGTAGCGATGCACTTG